AAAACCTCTTTTCATGATTTTTTAAATTGCATTTTAATTACTTTGATCTAGTTAGCTGTTAAAAGTAGAATGTATAGCAAAAAAATAACATTTACTGCATCTTCATTGATACTGACATTTTGAAATACGGCAGTGTACGATTATTTCGCCGTACAAGGTTGGCAACGCTCCGTGCAGTGGGCGCTGCCGGGTTAGCGACTTCCAGAGGTAAGCCGCGTTTACACCGGAGTTTCAAACAAAAAGTTGCAAACTTTTATTGCAAACACCAGTTGCAAACAGTAGTTTCAAATAAAAGTTTGCAATTTTTATTTCATGGTTTTGTTTCCATGTTTCATGAAAATGTTTGAAATAATTTTGACCTTGATTGAAATATCATTGATTGATAAAAAAAACTCCCACTTGGTTTTCCCATCGTCAGCCCCCGATCCAGACTTATTGCCCTTTTTAGATTATCTGTTAAATTGAATTATGAGGTTCCTCGTCCTATTTTGGACCTCTGCCTTGCTTAAGTTAATTTCCCGTGAAATGTCATTCCACGCATAGTTTTTCTTGTTTTTGTTTTTATAGTCAGAAATAGAAATAGTTTGATTCCAAAGCACTTCATGTTATCTATAAAAGCTAATTAACTTAATAATATTGTAATCTCTTCACTCCATCTCACTCAGTAGATCATCACTCACAACACGCTTGATACGAGATAAGTCACAACAATAACTAGGTAGCCGTCCAGACAGGGTACTGAGTCGAGATACAGGGTGGTGCGAGTGATCACGTGAGTGAGACAGGAGGTGGTAGCATAGGGGATGGCGGAGAAATGTTTCTGTTTCGTGTTTCAACGGCTCATAGTGACCGAAACTAGTGTTGCAAACAAAGAGTTTGCAACTCCCTTTGATCTTTACCGACTTCAAGTGGAAACAAAAATTTCTGTTGCAAACACCGAAAAACTGTTTGCAACAGCGAAAAGTTTCGTCTGAAAATGGGCGTTTTTAGAGATGTTTGCAATTTCTGTTTGCAACTCGTGTTTCAAACTCCGGTGTAAACGCGGCTTTAGCGAATTCCGCCGCGAGACAAAATCGAGTTAGCGGGTTCCGGAGTTAGCCAATTCCTGACTGAGACGGTTACCCGGTTCCTGAGTTAGCCAGTTCCAACACACGACCGAGTTAGCAAGTTCCTGAGTTAGCCAATTCCTACGTCTCGTTAAATCGCACGATCTTGCTTAGATGAATGTATGCTTCATCGCTGAACAGCAAAGTTTTTGAAAACATGTAATTTTCATCTTGATTTCCAACCACCCAGTTTACAAATTCAAGCCATTTTACTGGACCTCTAGGCTTGATCTCTTGTGTGAGTTGAATTTTGTAAGGGAACATGTGAAGGTCTTTTACCAAAATTCTTTGTACTGTGCTCCGAGCTAGGCTTAACTGCTGACTACGCCGACAAATCGATGTTCTTGCATTATCCTCTACACTATCATGTACAGCCTCAATATTTTCAAGGGAGTGACCTGCCCGACTGCGCACTGGTCTTTTAATGTCCAAAACTGAGCCAATTTCTTCGAACTTAGAAATCAATCTTCGGACAAATGACTCATTTGGTTCATTGTCCCGGCCGAAAATAGCGCACAGCTTCCAGTGTTTTAGCAAAACATTCCCGGTACTTGTAGTGTACTTTAACTATGACCACGTGTTGATCCGTTGTGTAGCCATTTGTGACTACAAATGGGACCTAATACTGATAACATCGCTGATAATTTGAAAATTCCTATTGAAATACAGATAAGGATAAGACGCTCCTGAAATCTATATAAGATAAGTGTACCTTATGGTTACTCTTTTCTTTGTAATAATTTCTCAAAATCCTAAATATTTTGTTGATCCAAAATATGTCCAGCGTCAGTAATTTCTGACTATTGAATCTATATACTTTTCATCTACCTTGACTGTCTTCAGCTTGTCCATGTGTAACCTTAGATTAAAGAAGTAGTATTTTTTAAGCAAATTTCTATATAGGGAAGTAGCTATTACCGTAGGTCTCATGGTAACACCTAGGCCCGGGTCCGATTTACTTTTTCATTTTGATGTCCCCAGAGGCCAAAAACGCTATTCGTTAAATTTATATATATAAATTTATTACTAAGCAAATCAAAATACCACAGTACCCTAAAAACATTTTATTTTATATTACTTACATGTTTCGGACATTAATGCCATGATCACAGTATAGTATATATAGTATAGATATATACTATACTGTGATCATGGCATTAATGTCCGAAACATGTAAGTAATATAAAATAAAATGTTTTTAGGGTACTGTGGTATTTTGATTTGCTTAGTAACATTTAAAGTAGCCCTCATTGATGTATACAATAACAAAATATAAATTTATATATAGGCTATACAGGGTTAGTAAAAAGTGTGGAGACCCCCTGTTATTTTTTTAACGGCCCATACTAGAAAAAACTAAACTCGGCACACCTTTATGGCATGTTATGAAGTACTTTTTGGGCATAACCGTCACTTGGTGTACATCCCCAAAATGGGGGATTTTGGAAGAAACTAAAACATTTCAAATACAAAGACCTATCGAGTGACCCCTCATTTTGAAGGTCCTGGTAAAAGAAAAACAAAAACGCAAACTAGAGGTCTTTATCTCAATTCAGTAAAAAATGGCAGCCAATTGAAATTCTCAGAAGTTGAATTTAACTTGCAGCTTTCCAAGTCTGGAGACCCCCTGTAAATTTTGTAGTGGCTCACACTAGGAAAACTAAACTCTACACACCTTTTTGGCATGTTATGAAGTACTTTTTAAGCCTAATAGCCACTTGCTTACCAAACCCAAAATGGGGGATTTTGGGGGAAACTCAAAAGTTTTAAATGATAAGCCCCATCAAGTGACCCCTAATTTTGAAGGTCCTGGTAAAAGAAAACTAACAACGCAAACTAGAGGTTTCTATCTCAATCCAGTAAAAAATGGAAGCTGATTGAAATCTTTAGAAATCGGAAATAACTTGCAATTTTATATTCAATTGGCTGTCATATTTTACTGTGTTAAGATAGAGACCTATAGTTTGCGTTGTTTTCTTTTTTTATGACCTTCAAAATGAGGGGTCACTCGATGGGGCTTATCATTTAAAATTTTTGAGTTTCCCCCAAAATCCCCCATTTTGGGTTTGGGAACTTATGAGAATTTCAATTGGCTGCCATTTTGTACTGAACTGAGATAGAGACCTCTAGTTTGCGTTGTTGGTTTCCTTTTAGCAGGACCTTCAAAATGAGGGGTCACTCGATGGGTCTTTGTATTTGAAATTTTTTAGTTTCCCCCGAAATCCCCCATTTTGGGGATGAACACCAAGTGGCCGTTATGCCCAAAAAGTACTTCATAACATGTCATAATGGTGTGCCGAGTTTAGTTTTTCTAGTATGGGCCGTTTAAAAATAACAGGGGGTCTCAACACTTTTTACTAACCCTGTATATATATATATACTAGCTGTTTGCCCGTTCTACGTACGGGAATCTTGTTGTAAGTTAAAACCTTATATTCAGAACAGGAGTTGGTTTGCATATTTAGTGTGCATTTTTCCAGATATGATGGCAAAACTATAATTGTTTAGGAATACATATAGGTAAACCTTCTCAAATACAATATCTGACAGTTTCAAAGCCAAAACGAATGCTTCGTAATTAAATGTCACCCGATCGTGTTAGTCCATATTTGATATCTAATGATGAAAGGAATTGCTTTACAGTATAGATCTATGAGGCATAGCCCTAAGGTAGGCCTGTAATTGAAAGTTACTTTTCACACTGGTTAAAAGTACAGTAGACTCTTGATAATTCGAAATTGGTGGGCCAAGCATATAAATTTGAATTATCAAGAGTTTTGAATTATCAAGAGTTCGATTTATCGGGAGAAAAAAAAACTATTCGAATTACAGAGAGTTAATTTTTATAATACATACAAAGGTACAGCACAATACAATAAAACATCATACCGTATTTTAGTACACTTTTAAACAATCAACGGCTTATTTTTCAGTTACTGTAGTTGCAAAGTGATATATATTCAATCTAGTGTCAATTAACAATATTCTATTTTCCTATATTTTAATACCAGCTGACTGGTTAATTATTTATTGTTTTCTGTTATGAGTCAGTTGTACAATTTAATGTTTTTGTTTTCAGTGTTTGTACATTTTACAATGTTCAAATATATTTCTCAAATGTTTTAAAGTTTATTTAATTTAGACACAATATTGGCGACGAGGATGAGTGAAATACTTAAGCTTAAAAAGGTATTAACTGCAGTCAAAATTCAAATTAGGAAAGCTTACAATGCAATTGTACAAAATAAAACAGTTAGAGAAGACATTAGTAGTGATGAAGTCACAGTGCGGTTGTCTTCATTACGGACATATTGGAACAGATTCGAAAATGCTCAATCTGAACTCGAATCATTAGTTGATGAAGAAGATATTGAGCAATTAGCAACTAGCAGAAGTGAAATTGAAGAGCTGTACATTACAACCGAAGTGGTGTTAAGAAACAAACTGCAATCCCCAACCACAGTTACGAATCAGTCTTCAGTAGGTCTACACCCTTCTGTTACATCAAATATTGCTTTTGCTCCGTTTGATGAAGGAGAATCATTTACAAACTTCATTAAAAGATTTGAAAACTTTATTTCCTTGAAGGAAATTTCTGATGATAAAACCAAACTTTGCACATTACTTGCAGTGCTTCCACCAAAACTACATGAACAGCTTCAAGACCTTGTTTCTCCAGATGATCCATACAAGATGAATTACAAAAATGTGGTAACAGTGTTGAAGGATTATTTGGAACCGTTACCTAGTATTATATCTCTTCAACACAAATTTTTGTGCCATGTTCAGCAAGACGAATCAACGATGGATTTTTCAATGGAACTGAAGAGACTAGCAAAAGATTGTCGTTTTCAATGTGAATGTGGGAAATCGGTATCAGACATGTTACTAAGAATGCAGTTTGTTAGAGGACTTAAAGATAATGATGTAAGAGGGCAGTTACTACAGAAAGAAACAAGTACTTTCAAAGAATCAGTGCAAGCTGCAATTTCCTTCGAATCCTCAAGACTTGAGAGCAGCATTATATCAAATCCTAAAACAGCTGCTGTTCTTAAGCTAACAGGAAGTACTGAAAGAAAGATGCCGGAACAACAACAATATGGAAGCAAAGGCCCAACCAAGAAGACCGAAAGATATCATACAGTTCGCTCTACATTTGACCAACTATGTGGACGGTGCTATCGATGCGGGGATAAATTCCATAAAGCTGACAGTTGCAGGTATAAGGATGAATTCTGCAATTCTTGTAATAAGGTTGGTCACTTAGCCAGAGTCTGCATGGCAAAGAACAGAGCTAGGCATATCAACCAGATCGAGGACAATGAAAATGTAAATGATATTGACCACGCAACGTGCGACACATATAAGATACAAATGAATGGTTCTGACAAGTTCATGGTTGAAGTTACACTAGAAGGAAAGCCAATTCAAATGGAATTGGACACAGGAGCAGCTTTATCGTCGATATCATACAAGGATTATAAGCAACTAAATTTGAGTAAAAAGCTATTTCAAACTCATGTACAACTAAGAACTTACACGGGCAAACTTATCAAACCAAAGGGGGTAGTGTATGTCGAGTTTAACTTCAAAGACAAAGCATACTTTGGTAAGCTGTATGTTATTGGACAAAATGTTGAACCTATTTTCGGAAGAGATTGGCTTAGGGAGATTAACTTAAAAATTGGGGATATCCGAACTATTCAAGAAAACTCGTGTGATCTTTCTAAAATCCTTACAGAATTCTCTGATGTTTTCAAAAAGGAAATTGGATGTATTCCAAATGAGAAGGTTCATTTATCCCTTCAAGAAGGTTGCAAGCCCATTTTCATCAAACCCAGACAAGTTCCATACTCACTTAAAGGAAAAGTAGAGGACGAACTCAATCGACTAGAGAATGCCGGTATAATCACTAAGGTGAACAATGCTCAGTGGGGAACGCCAATTGTCCCAGTGGTTAAACCCAATGGATCTGTAAGAATATGTGCAGACTATAAAACTACAATTAATAAAGTGATACAAGACGACAAACATCCAATACCTAGGATAGAGGACATTTTCGCGGAAATGAATGGAGGCAAGCTATTTTGTACCTTGGACATAAGCAATGCTTACCTGCACATGCAAATGGATGAGGAAAGTTCAAATATGCAAACTATAAGTACTGAAAAAGGTCTTTACAAAGTCAACAGAATGATGTTTGGGGTTAAGGTAGCACCATCAGTATGGCAAAGGTTCATGGACAGAATACTACAAGGAATTAGCGGTGTTAAATGCTTCTTTGACGACATTATCATACAAGGATCAAATTATGAAGAAACTGTGCAAAGATTGAAACTAGTCCTAGATAAAATGAGGGAACATGACCTTAGATTGAATTTTGAAAAGTGTAAATTCTTTCAGAAAAGGATTGCTTACTTAGGTCATACGATTGATGAAAATGGACTTCAAAAGGGGTCTGAAAAGGTAAAAGCGATTGTTGAAGCAAAGCGACCTCGTGATGTCAACCAATTACGTTCTTTCATAGGTTTGGCAAACTACTACAATAAGTTCATACCTAAACTGGCAGAGAAACTAAACCCATTAAACAAACTCTTACAGAAGGGCAAGAAATTCGAATGGACTGATGAATGTGAACGAAGTTTTGAATCTGTAAAAATGGACATTGCCAAAGACAAAACTCTAATCCACTACAATCCATCATTACCTTTAATACTGTCAACAGATGCATCACCAACTGGCTTAGGAGCTGTAATTTCACACAGGCTAAATGATGGAACAGAGAAGCCAATTGCATTTGCATCTAGATCACTGAGTAAAAGTGAGAATCAATACAGTCAAATTGACAAAGAAGCGACTGCCATTTATTGGGGTGTGAAAAAGTTCTTTCCATACTGCTATGGCAGGAAATTTATTCTTGTCACAGACCACAAACCTCTTGTATTTATTTTTCATCCTTCAAAATCCCTACCTGCAATGTCAGCTACCCGTTTGTTAAATTACGCTCTTTTCCTTGCTGGTTTTGACTATAAAATAGAATACAGAAAAACTTCAGACCACTCCAATGCAGATTTTCTTTCAAGATTCCCAGTAGAAAAGTTAGAAGAAGGTGAAGATCTCTATTCAAAATTTCAGATGAATCAAATATCTATGCTACCACTTACCAAAGAGACAATTGCAGAACATACGAAGAAGGATAGCCTACTTTTTTCTCTAAAGTCAAGATAGCCCTTGAAAATGGAGATGATCTGGAGACAATGGGATTAAACAACAACGAGTACACATTGCACAAAGGATGTGTTTTTCGAGGTATAAGGGTTGTGATACCTTCATCTCTTCAGAAAGAAGTACTCAAAGAACTACACGTGGGCCACCTTGGGATGACAAAAATGAAAGCAATGGCAAGAAGCTATTTGTACTGGAAGAATGTTGACAGACTGACAGAGACATTGAAGAGTTGGTCAGAAACTGTAAGATATGTTCCCAGAAGAGAAATGAACCTCCAAAAGACAGGAATCACCCTTGGGAAGAACCATCTGGACCATGGGAGAGAATACACTTAGATTTCCTTGGGCCAATGAATGGAAATTACTTCCTAGTAATCATTGATGCCCATACTAAATGGCTAGAAATATTACATACAAAATCTACTACAGCAGAATGGTGTATCAAAAAGCTACATCATCTATTTACAACGTTTGGTCTTCCAGTGACAGTCGTTACAGACAACGGGACACAATTCACCAGCACGGCTTTTCAAAACTATTTGAAAGAAAATGGAATTTGTCACAGAACATGCGCACCATTTCACCCTTCTAGCAATGGACAAGCAGAAAGATTCGTACAAACTGTGAAGAAGGGGCTAAATTCAATGGTGGGGGAGAGAGGTGACATACAAACAAAGATCGATGCATTAGTCACACAGCTGAGGAAGGCACCAAGCTCTACAACTGGAATGTCTGCATACAAGATGATGTTTGGCAGAGACATCAGAACTAAACTAAACGTCATGTCAGATAAAACAGAATGGTTTAGAGTTGAACAAAGGAAGATGGGAAGACAGTTCAGTGTGGGACAAAAGGTGCAAGCAAGGAACTATGCATCCAAAGAAAAGTGGAGATTAGGAGAGATCATCAGTCGAGTGGGCAATGTCATGTACAGAATAAAAATGGACAATGGATTGATATGGACCAGACACACTGACCAGATCCTCCCTATGAAATAAGGGGGGAGAGTTGATATATATTCAATCTAGTGTCAATTAACAATATTCTATTTTCCTATATTTTAATACCAGCTGACTGGTTAATTATTTATTGTTTTCTGTTATGAGTCAGTTGTACAATTTAATGTTTTTGTTTTCAGTGTTTGTACATTTTACAATGTTCAAATATATTTCTCAAATGTTTTAAAGTTTATTTAATTTAGACACAATACAAAGAAATCTGTTATTTAGCGCTATATATTTCGCCAATAGCCGAACTATCAGCTGTCGACAACGACATTTGTGCTCAAGGAGATGTCGCGCAATCTAGAGATCGGATTGCCAACTTAGAAAAACATGTCAGCGAACTAACTCAGACTACTGCTCTAACTAAACAAACATCAAAACGTCCAACACTAGCCTACCATGGGAACAGGATGTACTGTACTGTATAGTTTCTTGTTATAACAGGAAGAGATCACTTCGAATTATAGAGTGTTTTGCCGACTAAACTTCGAATTACTGCGTGACTTTGATTTATAGAGTGTTTTTTCGACGAAACTTCGAATTACAGCATTACTTCGAATTATAGAGTGTTTTTCCGACGAAACTTCGAATTACTGCGTGTTACAAATTGACCTGCCCTCTATTTGGACTTTGAAATACCGAGTGTATCAAAATGCATGGTAAAAATTTGAAATATTGAGAGATTCTCTAGGGACTGAGCCTTCATTTTGAATTATCGAAAGTTTTGAATTATCAAGTGTTTGAATTACCAAGAGTGGACTGTAGTTAAAACACTACCTCAACCTCACTACTGCACACTTTATTCGGGTTGAAATTTCTATTAACAATGGTGCTCTCGTCTTTTCCACAAAAAATAAGGACATTAATGCGTTACCAATAATAGACATACACACACAAATACAGAATTGAGTCCACACAACATTTTGGAGTCCAGACAGAAAACGCTAAAAATTATACAGTAAGACATCAATTAAATTTAATAAGCAATAAGGTGCAGTGTTTATAAATAAATAGTGAAAATAGTTATGTGAATTGTATGTAAAAATGATTCTTACTGCTACCAACGTTTACATTTGAGAAAATAACTATAGTACTTACGACTAATTCAAACTGTCCTTCTAATCAAACTGTATTATAGGTGTTGATCTGTTTGCAAATATATAAATAAATACACAGGCCACAAAACATGTAACATGTAACGTTAACAACGTAAAGCTTTGAAAAATCACTATGGTTTGCTAAAAGAAACTTTCACTTGATGTGGTGCAGTACCAAAGTTATTAATCTCCTTTGGTTTTAATTTTTTTTTTTTAGTTTTCGAAAATCAAAGTTATTTCCCATTAATAGCATTATTTGTAAGCAGCTTTTAATGTTAACATATTAATGACAGTTTGAAGAAACCACCTTTATCCAAACAAAGGTTTCTTATTTAAAAGATTACGCAATCTCTAAACAATAATCGGTACATATATCTAGCAAACATTCAGAGGAAATGTGAAGAAAAACGCACAAATCTGGGGTTTTGTACGTTTGTAGTTTTATTTCCTAAGTAGGAAAAGTACCGATATCGTTGTCCAAATTTAAGTAAGTAGAAACCAAAAGTGACACATTGGAAAAGCGAGTTTAGCTACATCTGTTAAGTTAAACCTCTGTTACGGTACGATCACAGCGAAATCAGAAAGATCTTCCAAAATCGCAGCAATATCCACGATCACCCACTGACTGCAGTTGTGATTTTTTACTTTGCACTTAACACAACTGTCCTTGAAGCGCCGTCAATGAGTGGAACCTTTGTAAGCTACGGTATTGGTGATGATAATTAAAAAAATGTAAGTTTCCTTGCACTAATACATGCTTGTACATTGACATAGCCTGTAACAATGTTGTTGTTGATTGGCCAAATAAATTCATTGTATTCATTGTATTCATTGTATTCATTGTACAACACTGATTCACGGTATTTTCCCCGGTTATCAAAACTCAAGAACAATCGTTGCACTTGCGATTAATTAAAGCTGATAAGTAAGGCACAACGTTTTTAATCTCACTTGGTTTGGATGTGCTGACAAAACTTGATCGGAAATGGTTGCGGTATTTGTAAACAACTTTGAATGTAAACATATCAGTGACAGCTAGAAGTGAGAACTAATCCAAACAGCTGATCGTTATTTCATAAAATGTAATAGTAAACATTGGAAGACAATTTGAAAAAATCGATCAAAATTGGGTTTTTGGTGGTTTGTTATTTTGTTTTCAAAGAAGCGAGGCCATGTTTTTATAGCCAAAGACACTGTCACCAATCCAGTAAATACAGAAAAATGATTAGAACCTTGATCGGTACTCTAGTTTTCTAGGAGTAGGCCGCGTAAAATGACATTTTGGCGTTACAGACGCAGTCACAGAGTGGACAAACAGACAAACAAACAGAAATTGAGATAAGACTCGTTTCGGCTTTCTTAGGCTATGAAACGTAAAAATAACCAAAAAATGCATGATTCTAAGCAATGTACAGACAAAACTGTAATTTTATTTATATAGATATACATATGTCCGTGAACAAGATAACTTGAGCAATTTTTGTCTGATTTTGACATTATTTGGTTTGAAGGTTTAAGGCGGGATAAACTTGAATAATTTCGCAAACCGGCATGATCGGACCATGGGAACGGGGTTTAACGAGGGTTTTCTCATTTTTACCCTTTAAACACAAAATGTATAAATTTTTCTCCAAATCTTTTTAAAGAGCTTAAAAAAACAAATAATTTTAGTACAGCAAAGTGTTTTTGTACAGTTATTGGTTACAGAGAAAATTCAAAAATTGTTAATTTAAAATTCCCATGTTATATGGAGAATATTGTAAAATGTTGTAGTTGGCTTGTTTATGGATATACTTTGATCAAAATTGGCAGATTTATTTATTTTATACTAAGCTATTAATATTGTAATAAAAAAATACATTTTATTAGTTTCCCTGTAGCAGCAAACTTAGGTACTCGTTAAACATAAATGTTAATTTAATAAATTAGTTGAAAATCAATCCAGGCAAATGGGAATTTGCTTAGTCGGCAGGTTTGCTGCAGCGGGGGGTATTTTTGTTTAGTCTAAATTTGTATTTGTTATTGTTTGTGTTTAGCAGCTTGCTTGTGATAGAGCAAGAAGGATGTAATTTATTTAATAAATCATCTTTATACACTCAGTAAAGTAGTGTCTACTGCTTTAATCTACGATGTAGATGTAACTACTGACTGCAATGGTTAGATCACTGCGATAAGAGCTTCAGTGAGTCATTAAATGCCTAAAAGGTATGACAATAGGGTTGAAATATTTACTTTGTAATCAAACAATAAAAGTCTGAAATTACAAAAAAATTTATTAAATTTCCAATGCATGATAACACGTCTTTCTATGCTAATATGTTATACTGTAATCCCTTCTTAATCATATTTTCACATGTTTTACTACACAAATGTATTCTTCCTAAATGAATGTCAAAATAATAGGTTAACATTTCTGATACTTTTAGTTTTATTAATTTTAATATTTACACCCAGCAGCTAAAATAATTAACTAAATTTTACGTTCATGGACATTCCTACTTTGACTTCCAACGAGTTTCTCATTTTGGTATGCATCAGCAGCCGCAGCAATCATTCACAGTTTGCCGACACCTAGAGAAAAAAAAATGCTGTGAGAAATAAGAAACTGAAAATAAGCTTAAATTGATCATCGTTGTATTTATTCTTACCTTCAATTCTATTTTTGTCCTTTTAGGCCATCGTCATATTATTAAAAAATCAGTTTCACAGTATTTGTACATTTTATTTTCATCTGTTATCTTTTATCATATTGATATCATCAATATTAGAAATCAATCTTTATTATTTAGGTAACCATAGACCAAACATTTGATTTATTCAATTAATTAATCTATATTTATTTAATTCCGTAAGCGAATTCACCATCTAGAAAGCTAAAAGACTCGACCCATTTAACATTTTAAATGATCTGCTTCTTTTCAGTCATCCTACTCCTACTAATATTATAAATGAAAATGTTTGGATGTATGAATGTATATGTATGTTTGTGACAAGTAAACACGAAAAATACTGGTCGGATCGGGCTGAAATTTGGTGTGATGATAGCTCACATTCCCGATTAACATATAGATGCATTCTTATCTCAAAAGTCCTTTCAGACTCCGCCCCAGTGGCTCTGGAGTTTCCCATGTTAACTTTATAAGTACCGGTAATCATATTTAAAAGGAATAAAAGAATTTAGTCAGCTGTTTCAACTACACAAGTTGGTTCTATGATAATACATAGCGTTAAAAAGTTATAAGGTTTACCAACAGGGTGCAGCACTATTAAACTTTTTTGAACTTGAACCAACTAGTAACAAAAATCTGTGATAAGTTATACAATGAGAACTTTACTTTATCTATTGTTTAGTTGCAGTGGTAGAACATTATGGCTATAAGATGTGCTATGCTATACTATAGCATACCGTAGATTAAAAGAACCAAATTCTCTTAAACCATGTCCAATCCCATTGCAAATGCAAAGCCAAGTATAACTGCAATAAGCATTTCATACTTATACACCAACACCGTACGAAGAACGGGTACTCTGCTATAGTTCGGCCGCTTAGAAAGCGACCTCCTCCAGCATTGGTTTAGCATTAGCGCGCAGGTCGTTTTCTAAGCGGCCGAACTATAGTTGTTTTTGTTTATATTTGATACATATATTGACAAGCTACAAATCAAAGAAGTAGCCCATGGTGGATGGAAAATACATAGGTGTACTATTCCCATCATATGCTGACGTCACCCAGATTGCAAACACCCTTTTCACCATCTATCTATACTTATTTAATACGCAAGCAGGTTTTTTGTGACAATTACTCCTCCGAAACTACTGAACCGATTGACATGTTTTTGATGTCATTGGAAAGAGTGTAACTTGAAGTTGTGCAGGAAACTTTCTTTTTAGGGAAAT